TGGTTTCTTTTAGGCATCTCGGGGTCTTCATCAAGGTGACTCTCTTTTCCCTTTCATTTTCACTATTTATGCATAATGTTTTAGTTTACTTGTGAGAAATGTTGAAAGAATAAGGCATTTTTTGGTCTTCCAGATGCCAAATGAGGATCTTGTAATTCTCAGTTGCAATATGCAGATAATACATTATTGTTCCGAGAGGTTGAGATTGATCAGATTAGCAACATTGCCATACTCTTGAGATGTTGTGAGGTTGCCTTAGGTCTTAAGGTTAATTTTGAGAAAACTGCAGTAGTTGGCATTAATTGTAGCGATGATGCGATCCGAGCAATTGCAGAGGTGATGGGGTGTAAGGTGAAGAATTTTTCAATCACGTATTTGGGATGCCAATCTCAGATGGTCGACTCCCACTAGCTGTTTAGGATAAAGTTATCCAAAGGATCCAAGTTAAGCTTGATTTGTAGAAATTTAAATGTCTTTCTTTAGGGGGGAGAATAACTTTGGGAAATGCATGTTTGTCGAATTTACTAATATAACAAATGTCTATTTTACAAATTCCTTTATTGGTGCCCAAGAAAATCGAAACTTTGATGAGAAACTTTCTCTGGAGTTCATCTGTGGTTACTAAAAAGTTTCATCTTCTTAGAAGGGATAGGGTGTGCACACCTAAAAGGGAGGGAGGTTTAAGAATAAGAAAAATTGAATTTGTCAACCAAGCTTTGCTTTGTAAATGGTGGTGGAGAAATTTAATTTTCAAATATCATCTTTGGTACAAAGTGATAGCTTCGAAGTATGGTGATGATAGATTTAGAATGTGGGTTGGTGTGAGGAATGGTAATGGGGGGATGTCTTACTGCTGGAGATCTATTCATTCTTGTAAAACTTTGATTCACAGGGACATTCGATGGAGTATAGGCAATGGAAACAATATCTCATTTGGCTCCACAAATGGTTAGGTGCTTGACCTTTAAAATATATTTTTCCACTTGTATTCCAAATGATGGATAACCCCAATGTCGTTATCTTTGATTACTATGAGTGCCGGGGTAATCAGATTGTATGGAATATTAATCTTCCATACAACAGGATTTCGGATTCTCTCATTTCTGAATTCTTTTATTTATTGATGTTACTAAATGAAGTATATATCCCTCAAAATGTTTTTGATGAGGTTGTTTGGGATATTGATAAAGATGCAGTTTATTCGGTTAAATCAAAGTATCAGTTGTTGTTTCATGATCGACAGAGGTGGTCCATGCTTGAAGTTGCCAGCATTTGGAAGTGGTCGTTACCTCTTAAGGTGCAAGCCTTTTTATAGTTGGAAGTACAAAATAAAGTATTGACTGTTGACAATCTCATCACGAGAGGTAAGATCTTGTCAAATATCTGCCTCATGTGTAAAGATGATGGTAAAATTAGTGCTCATCTTTTTCTCCATTGTTCATTTACTTATCGACTATGGAGCAGGTTTTTTGCTTAGCTTGGGATAGCAATGGTAATGCCTTCAAAAGTTGAGGGAATTCTTTCAAATTTGTTGCTTGCTTTTTTACTGCAAATTGGATTGGTTATCTAGCAAATCACGAGAGGTGTGATTTTGTGGGAGGTGTGGAAGGAAATGAATGGGAGATTGTTTGATGGGATAAGCTTGCCCTTTGAAAGAATTTTGGAGAAGATCGTGCACTCAATTTGGCTTTATCTTTCGGTTACAAAAGTTTGCCATGATATATCAGAAGTGGATGTCAGGAGAAACCTACCAAATCTTTTTCAGATGGGTTTTATTGAATGTAGGCCTAGAGGAAGGTGGGTGGCCCCATTATTGGGGGTCTTTAAGCTCAACTTTGACGGCAGTTCCTTGGGGACCCTTGGTTTAGCAGGCTTTGGACGAGTGGTTAGAGACTGGTTTGGAAATATTGTTTTTACTTATGCAGGCCCTCTTGGGGAGAGAACTGCAAATTATGCAGAATTCTGTACACTTATTCATGGCCTGCAATTGTTTTGGCTAGGAATTTGGAGCTTTTCTATATTATTGAAGGTGATTCCTTGAATGTCATTAACTGGTGTAAAAGCAAGCAGAAGTCGCCTTGGAAGTTGAGGAACCCTGATTTAGCAGGCGTTGAGGAGTGGTTAGAGACTGGTTTGGAAATATTATTTTTACTTATGCATGCCCTTTGGATGAGTGGTCAGAGACTGGTTTAGAAATATTATTTTTACTTATGCATGCCCTCTTGGGGAGAGAACTGCAAATTATATAGAATTCTATGCACTTCTTTATAGCCTGCACTTTTTTCTGGCTAGGAATTTTTGGCCTTTCTATATTATTAAAGGTAATTTCTTGAATGTCATTAACTAGTGTAAAAAGGAGCAGAAGTCGTCTTGGGAGTTGAGATCAGTGTTGCTACAGATCTTGGACCTTTCTAGACTTTTTACTCTCTTTTGCGCATGTTTCTCGGGAAGCCAACATGTTGGCTGATTTTCTTGTCAAAGGGGGTACCTTTTTATCTGAGACAGTTATCTATGACTCTATAATCTCGATTTAGTTTTTAATATAATCTTTGAATTCCTATAAAAAAAAATAGCATGCTTAAACAAAACTTTCTTTATTTTAGATAATCTACTGTGGGCATTGATACCCCTGACGTTTCAAGATAAGACTGACATATAATTAAGAGTTAAGTTGCGTATCGTTTTGGGAAAGATGGCACTCAAGGTAGAAGAAGAGCCGTCATGAGCGCCTTCATGGCTCGGAATTTCTTGGACTCCTTCAAGGTTTTGGTATCATCACAGTGAATTTTGTGGCTTGTCATAGCAGGACATCCGGGAGGGACCATGTTTTATCATTTTGTGCTGATAGATCCCTTACGATGTCACCTGAAAAGTCTCCAAAGTGTTTTTGTATCACAGTTGAGGATTGATTTAAATCGTCATTCTCGCTAGTCGAGAGAAGCGAATTGCTCTCCATGTGATTGGCTATTCAACACTCTATGAAGTCGCCACTTTTCCAGCCAAGATTTTCCAGTCACTCGAGCCCTTCATAGGAATTGGCGAAATTTTGCGGCTATTCAATGGGGCGTTATCATCACAAGCCTCCATATGACCCAACTCATCTTCGATTCTTTAATGAAACTTCCCAAATTCGAATGATTTGTCCCCATAAGGAGCCATTTCAGGGTGTTCTTCTAAGTGTGTTGTAATCGTACCAAAGCCACAACAAACCACGTTGGCAAGAAGGTCGCACGGGCAATTTTTATTGCTTGTGACGGGCAATTTTTATTGCTTGTGACGAGCAAAACAAGGATTGACGATGTCTGGACCCTAGAAGAACTTGTGTATCAAGAGATGTTGTGTGGGCTTTGTCGGGCTGTCCTTGTCTTGCCGACAAGATGAATGCAAGCTTAGAGGTAGTTGCTTATGTATGATGTTGAATATGCGGCATTATGGATAGTATTGCCAGTGAAGTTGCAAGAAACAAGTTTGATGATGGCACTATAGACAATATTAAGAAGCAGAAACTATCGCCTTTGTTGTCGGCTGGCGGTTGTTCTACGGCCCTTAGAAGACTGGCAAGCCATCAATTCGTGAATTGCTCATACACTGGATGATCTCAAACAGGTTGAAGTCAGTAGAACATAGCCTTATAGGGCTACTTAAGTTCACAAACTGAATTCTGTAAAGTATGCAGGAACGGCTTATGGGTATCACTTGTGCACTGACAGTTTTGAGATTGTCGAGTCATGAGGAGAAGGGTATAACTAAATGTCAAATTGTGATGCAAGACGGGATTGATGTGAAACCCTGTTTCATGCAACTTGAATATGAAATGTCGATTGGTGGTCAAATGAGACGTCGATTGCGACAATGCCCAGCTTTTGCAAAATGTTTTGCGGATTTGGATGATACTCTTAGCCAGGCAAAGTTGACAGCAGTGCGAGTGTTAATTGCACATGAGGCGAACAAAGCTCAGAAGTTCTATTTGAATTAAGTGAAGAATGCATTTGTGCATGCCTAATTAGATCTCAAGTGTAGAGAGGTTGCGACCTTTGACTAAAGCTGGGAAAAAACCTTGTATGGTTCAAAACACTCACAATCTTGGTACAGGATGATCGAGAATCAATTGGCATTTAGTGAGTATATCATGGCAACCATGGATTCGAGATTCTTTGTGTAGGGAAAAAGGAGAAAGCTAGCGATTGTGCTAGTCGGGGTGGAGAGAATTGGTCATCACTGGCAACACTATGAATGAAATCAAGCGTATCCGTAAGAACCTTTCTCTGTGGTTCGATATGAAGGAGCTACAGGAGTTGAATCATTTTCTCAGCATGGAAGTAGACCAGTGAACAATGTCTATTCTTGTGCCAAAAGAAGAGCACAATAAATCTATTACGCAAGTTTGGGATGGAAAACTGCAAAGATATCTCGACACGTGCTGAAGTAAATGGGAAACTGACTGTATGAGAGGAACTCGACTATGTATGAAGGTATAGGCAACTGGTCAGAAGCCTAATCTATTTGACTCTTTCATGACCAGTTATTGCTCATGGAGCGGGAAGAATTCTGCAAGTTCACATAGAGCTGCAGAAGCCCCATCTGGAAGCAATTCAGTATATTTTCCGATATGTAAAGAACATATGGTGGATTTTGGGATTCTTTATCTGTGACGGTCCACAGCTGAAGTACTTCGAGTTATCTGATGCAGACTATGTGGGCAACATGAGGATTTGCAAATCAATTACAGGGTACATATTCAGCTCGGGGTCAGAAGCAATCTCTGTGTAGCTGCGTAGCAAATGGCAACTAACAATATATATTTCTCCAACATCAGTTGAATGCACAACATTTAAGGTAACTCTAACTCAGAGCTGCATACAGTGGATGCAAAACTTTTGAAGTAAGATGAGGAGCATGCAGTCAGACTATATTGCAATAATGAGAGTGCCATAGCCAGCTACTTTGTGTCCGAGTAGGGCACCGGCTCCTACAAATGATTCAAAGAGATTTCCTCAAGAGATTTTGGACTGCATATAATCCCTTAGTTCAAACTTCAAATAACACAGAAATGAAGGGGGAAAAAAATCCCAGGCGTCAATCCTATAAAAGGAACAACGCCCAGGATTAAATAAACATGTAAACTATTTTCTTCTCCCATAGAAAATTGAAGTCAAACAAAATTGGGAAATAACAATGGCAGTAGACAACAAGATAGCAGTAGAGCTTCGGCCCAAATGTTTTAAGCAAGCTTTTGCTTGCTCCTTAAAATCACTAAAACACAATAGGCCTCCTATGTATATCTCAGAGTTAACCGAAGCTAACCCTCAATTCATTTATACACAATCTTTTTGGGCAGCCTTCACATTCATTTTACTGGAGCGCTTTGACAAAGGAGAGCAAAGAATCAACATCGCGCTTCTCAGAAGCATATTTGATGGGTTTGGAGGAGTGTTTAGGGAAGAAAAGGATGGTAGGAAAGCTTCCCAACTGTAATTCTCTCTCAGCAAATAGCTTCTGTTCCCCATCAGCCCTGAACTTCGCCACTTTCACACCGGATCCTTCAAGTTTCTCCGCCAGCTCCATATACGCAGGTTCCATGGCCTGCAAGGTATAGCACGAAACAGTTAGAGAAATCATGAGAGAGAGAGAGAGAGAGAGAGAGAGAGAGAGGACGGACGTCGACGTCGACGAGAGACGGCGACCGACCGACGGACGAGTAGACGACGAACACGACGCGCGTCGTCCTCCTCCGTCGTCTCGTAGTTACGT